AAAAACCCATCATACTGGAGATGCCAGTACCATGGGATGATCACCAAGCACAGCAGCAGCAGTGGAGTGGTCAACCAGAGCTTAGAGTGCTACAGAGGGCAGAGCTTAAGAAGTGAGACAAGGCCTTTGGAGGAGCCCAGATCATGTCTGGATCCCGGACATTGGAATAAAAAGCTGTGAGGTTTAAGTTGACTTGGAGACCCCAAGATGCCAGAGCCATGGGATATCTGCTGAGGAAAGCTGCTAACAGGGAGTGGAACTATCCCAGGAGAAAGAAGTTTGTGGCAGTCAACAAAGATGAAAAAGGAGTTGAAGATCTGATGGAGATGTTGAGTTTAGAGTTTGTCCAGATGATTTCCTGTCTTGCTTTGAGGATTACAGTTATGTGATTGGATGAATCTCAGAAGAGACTTTGAACTTTGGATTTTTAACATTCTTGAGACTCCTATAGATTATGAAAACTTTGGAATTTGGACAAAATGTAGTTTTTTATTAAGCTATGGCTAGGTATGGCCTCCATAGATTCATATGTTTGAATAAGCCTATGGGGGCCAGGGAATGGAATGTGGTGGTTTGGATATGCTTGGCACTGGGAGTGACACTATTAGGGGGTGTGACCCTTTTGGAGTAGGTGCAGCTTTATTGGAGTAGGTGTGTCACTGTGGGTGTAGGCTTTAAGACTTTTATCCTAGCTGTCTGGAAGCCAGTCTTCTGTTTGCCTTCAGAACAAGATGATGAACTCTCAGCTCCTCCTGCACCATGCCTGCCTAGGTGCTGTTATGATCCCACCTTCATGACAATGGACTCAACCTTTGAACCTGTAAGCCAGCCCCAATTAAATGTTGTTCTTATAAGGGTTGCCTTGGTCATGGTGTCTGCGCACAGCAGTAAAACCCTAAATAAGACAAAAGCATGAGTTGCCAAAACTAAAACAAAGACTGAATCCATATAGTTAAAGTCCATATAGTTCTAGGAAAGTTTGTAAATGTACTAACCTTGTTTTTTGGCTCCTGTAGTTCTGCTTCTGGCTAAGTGTTCTTGTTAACTGAAGTATGTCAACCAGAACATAGTTTTTGTACTTACAATCTCACCCTGAGAAAGGCTCAGATCTACACTGGGTTTCTGAACACTCAGCTGGCTAATAAAGACTTTCTATTGCCTTAAATCCATGACCAAACAGTCTTCTCTTTGGCTATCCCACAAAATGTCATCAAAGCATCGGTCTTGAATGTGTCTTGGTTGATACAGTACATGCCTAGCAGTAGAAAGCTCCAGGTTTGATCCCTGTTATCATATAAACCAGGTGTGGTGAATGCCAGCCTGTAATTCCGGTACTGCATATGTGAAGGCAGATGGGTCAAAAGTTCAGAGTGATCTTTGACTATAAAAAGTCAGAGACCAGCCCGGGATACACAAGAATTTACCCTAAAAAACAAATAAGCTAGCATTCTGCTTGAAGCCAGTGTGTCCATTATGGCTGAAACCACACCAAGATTAGGCTTTTTCAGGGTGTCAGAGATGAGTGCCCAAGGTTTTTCCGAGAAGCAGAACAAGTGTGAGATGATAGATAAAGGATAGATATTAACATTAGATGATACATGTAGAAGATATCCAAGATGGAGATGACAGATGGGCAGACAGCAGAGGGACCACAGATTTTAGGCATAAATGACTGATGGATGATACATAGAAATCTTATAGCTTCTGCTCCAGTTGCAGGAGGATGGTTATTGTGATAGTTTATATATTCTTGGCCCAGGGAGTGGCACTATTAGAACATGTGGCCTTGTTGGAGTAGGTATGTCACTGTGGGTGTGGGCTTAAAGACCCTCATCCTAGCTGCCTGGAAGCCAGTATTCTGCTAGCAGCCTTCAGATGAAGATGTAGAACTCTCAGCTCCTCCTGTATCATACCTGCCTGGATGCTGCCATGCTCCTGACCTAATGATGATGGACTGAATCTCTGAACCTGTAATCCAGCCCCAATTAAATGTTGTCCTTATAAGGGTTGCCTTGTCCATGGTGTCTGTTCATAGAAGTAAAACCCTAAGACAGCTACACAGACAGATGTAGATCCAGATCCAGATAGAATGGGGGAGGGACTGAAGGCTTTTAAGGGACTGGCTACACAGCTGGATGGTGTACTGGCTGGTTTCTATGTGTCAACTTGACACAAGCTGGAATCATCAGAGAGAAAGGAGACTTACTTGAGGAAATGCCTCCATGCAATAAGATGTAAGGCATTTTCAATCAGTGATCAATAGGGGAGGACCAAGCCTGAGATGGGAGGTAGTCCCTGGGATGATAGTCCTGGGTTCTACAAGAAAGCAGGCTGAGTAAGCCATGTGAAGCAAGCAAGTAACCAAGACCCCTCCATTGCCTCTGCATCATCTCCTGCCCCCAGAATCCTGCCCTGTTTGAGTTCCTGTCCTGAATTCCTTCAATTAGCAATGTGGAAATGTAAGCCAAATACTCCCCAACTTGCTTTTTTGGTCATGGTGTTTTATCAAAAATAGAAACCTAATTAAGATAGGTGGGAAATGTGGGTGGTGAGTTTGATATACCTGGGACAAGGCATCAGGATGGAAATTAAGGTAGGGCTGATGTTGTGACCCTGTGCCAAGATTCTTCCTCCTCTGATGTAATGGTTCATTTGCTTGTAACCTTGATTGGATTAAGTGGTGGCATTTTTAGGGGGTGTTTGTCTATGAAAGACTTCTCAGGTGACTATATTTGAGAGCTCTGAACTAATCAGTGGGTCAACCCCGTTGGAGGAGGTGATGGTAGAGAAAGGACCTAGTGGAGGAAATAAGTCACTTAAGATATAAATTTAGAACTACATCTGTCCTGGACAGTTTCTAAATTCTACTTGTATATTATGAGCCAAGATATAGCCTTGTCATGAGAAAGAATGTTGGGAGCCAGGATCCAGGCTTGCCCCTGGAACAGGGCTCAATATCCAGGAGCCAGGCCTACCCTGAAAGCAGGTGCCAGTGTTCATGGAAGTGGCTATTGATGGCTGAAGGGCAAGATCTACTTGCTACAGTAGATACTCCTTGCCTGTGTGTCCTGGCAGATATACGGCCATGTGGTCAGGGATAGTGTCATTGCTTAGCCCTGGTTAAAGCCTCATCTCAGCTTACTGGGTATAGAAAGTAACAAGAAACTGGTGTAAGCTCCAACCTCCACAGAACTTCTGATCTCTGCATCATCTTCACCATGATAGACTGACATCTCTCAAAAATGTCAGCCAAGGTAAGTCATTCTTTTTTTTTTTTTTGTTTCCTGACATGTATTTGATCACAGCAGTAAGTGTTTAAAGTCCCAAGCTCAGGACATTAATATATGTCTACATTTGGATTCTGAATTTGATACCGGATCAGTGTAGGGTATCAAACGCAGTAGGACTAGGTCCCTGGAGAGGGACTGTTTGTACACAGATGGGATAGTGTATTGCTTCTACAAGACAAGGGATGGCTGAAAGCCATTACTGTACAGCTAGGTGGGGCACAGAACTGATTCTTCCTGCAGCATGGAGAACTCTAACCTCGGATGCCATTGCTCAAATTCTTGGCTTCCAGAGCTGGCAGAGAATGGAGACCTGACGTTCAAGCCATGATCTGTCCTAGCAGCCTATGGAAACTGGTATTGGGAGTTGAATGGCTTAAAACTACACAGAAACCTTGCCCAGGTGCCCTGGAGAGCTGAGTTGTAAAGAGTCTCTTCCACCTCAGCTTTCTTAGCCATGGAGTGAACAGTTATTAGCCTGACTGTACTTTCCTCAGCCTGCCAGAGAGGTCCAAATGTCCCCAAGAGGCAGAAGGGAGGTGCATGCTTTTACTGTAGGGTCCCAGGGAAGTTGCCTGCCTTGCCAGTGTCTCGAAGCTTAACTGTTAGGAACTCAAACAGCTTAATCATGTATCTTGCTTACTTTAGAGTGAGGCTCAGTTAGTTGGTTATATTCTGGTCCTGAGACATATAGAAAAGCCTGGTTGGCTCCTGAAGGCCCAGGATAGAGACATTCCTCTGTCCCTTAGGTCCCACTGCTCTGTAATTGTTACTATGGTACTGTGTTCCAAGCATCTGGCTTTCACCCAGCTGCTCAGCATGTCTGGCCCTAAGCCCTGATCCCCTGCAGCTCACTGTGCCCTAAGCCCTGATTCCCTGCAGCTCACTGTGCAGCAGGCACTGGTTATGAATCAAATGGCACACTTTACTGCCTGTCATCGTGTGGCTCCCAAAGGAGAGATGCCACTTGCAGGAATCAGATGCTTCCCAGTCCCAGTTAGAATGCTTCTCTCACCAGAGCAGAAACTGCAGCTGCATTGCTAGCCAGGTCTACACTGCTGTTGCAGCTGCACTGGTCTTCTGTGTAGTCCAGCCCCTGAGTCTCCATCAGAATCCTCTGCCAGGAACTTTGTAGATCTAAACAGTTCCTAACAGTTGAACTTATGTCTTAGGATGTTCCAGCTGCAAAACTCCACCTTGGGAATGCAGTGAGAACAGATCGCCCTGATATTACTGAGCTTTCTTTCCCCAGTCTCATGATCTGCCTGAGAAAGGCTGTCTGCCACCCTGTACCAGTGCAAGTGGAGGCCACTTTCCCAAGACTGTCTTCTCTACTGCAGGTTGTCAGGTTATAATCCACTCTCAAGCTATGACATTGGTTCCTGCCGGAATGGTGTTACCTATCTTCTGCTTCCTGTTCCTCTCACATGGGTGTTACCTGACTGCCCCTCCCTCATGGCCACTATGGCCTGCAAATCCAGAATGATTTCCCATTCACAGATCATCCCTGTCTGGTTATGGGATAGTTGGAGGAGACTTGAGACTGAGAGCAGAGTGCTGGGTGAGTGGTGCTTTGAGGATGTTAACATGGTGTGTGTATGTGTGCATGTGCATGTATACACATCTGTGTGAATATGAGTGTGTATATGTGTGTGTGTGTGACTTTTGTACAAGGAGAGTGGGGGCTGGTCCATACAGAAAGAACACAGTGAGTTGTACAGTGTTGAAGGATGTTTTATTATTATTATTATAAAAAAAGATGAAGAGGGACCTTAATGATATGACCGGGCTCCAGAAAATTTAAAGAAAAAGCTGGAAAAGCTAAGCTTCATGTCAGTGAACATCTGTTGGAGTTCCCTAAGAGCCAGGCACCCCCACTTTCCTTCCTGAGTTTCTCCTTTGTTGGGGACTCTGGCCTGGCATTTGCCTTGATATGAAATGGAGAAACAGTCACGGTGCCTCTCCAGTGCCAGCGGTCAGTCAGCCTCAGTGGCTGGCCTGGGCTGTCTCCATGGATGTCTACTATAACTGGTGTTCTCTGCTCTCAGTGGTCCAGTCTAGATGCCAGGCTGCAGGAAAGACCCATTCCTGCCTGGCTTTTTAAGCATCCTCTCTTTCTCCTCATGTTGCTCCTGGACCACCTTTGGGACTGACTGGTGTCTGTTCATCATGCCCTTCTCTTACAGGTTTTTCTGGGTTGCTCAGCCACTGGTCAGTGGCTCCTGCACCTGCTAGATCCTGACAGAGGCTGTGAAGCCCAGGCCCTCTGAGTGTCTCTCTAAGTCATCCAGTGAGGCAACAGTGCCCTGGTCCTCAAGCTGTGGGGTCAGCAGTGTCTCTGATGGGATCTTGCATCTGAGATTCCATCATGTTGCGTAGATGGCAGGAAGAAGGGTCTTCACAAGGAGCCCCATCTTATATTCCAAGAACTGAGAGTTTGCTTAAGTGTCAGGAAAAAAAAACATGCCAGGACACTGATCGGGTGAAGGCTATTAGGGTCACCTTTGGCAGTCATCCCACAGAGGTCCCTTTGGGGCCTTCTCAGCCTCAGAGGCATATGGAAACTTCTCTCAGAGAAACACACTTTTTCAGAGGACTGTGTAGACAGGGCTGGCTCTATGGCTTATTTGCATCTAAGTGGATGCAGGCCATCCTGGAGGAGTGCCTGGCTGAGGGCTAGACACCTTGTAGAAGAAACAGCAGTTTTGACCCTATCCATTGTTCTGGCTGTGATAGTGGTGCTTGGGTCCTGTTGTCTATGGTCTGGGGCAAAGCCTGCTCTCCACATGCTCCTCTAAATGTGGAAGGGACATTAGCAGCAGAGTCAGAGCCATAAGATCAAAGGATGCTGAGATGAGAAGGCAGCGTCATCTGTGTGTCTGGCTGCTCAGCAAAGTGGACTTGGTCCTAGAGGGCTAGCAAGCTCTGGCATCTTCTGAAGAGACAAGCTAGGCGCCTTGCCCAATCATGTTTCTGTAGTCAGGGACCACCGTGTGTTTCACCTGTACCACCGAGGAGAAGATCCACTTCACCTGTGAGATGCAAAAGTGAGATGTTATGTGCCTGACCTTAGTCTTCTCCATCTTGTACACTAAGGAAGGGGCAGCTCCAAGTCTAGGGATTGCGCACATCTAGCGTGAGGGTAAACCAGTGACATCACGGGGCATGGTGTGAGTAGAGTTTTGAGATGGTACACAGCTATAGCAAGGGGCATCATATGGACAGCATAGGGACCTGATGAGGACCAGGTGTGAATAGAATGGGGACCAACAATAGGAACGGTGTGCAGATTGTATTAGAGAAAGCGTATGGATAGGGTGGGTGACAACCTGCGGGAGCATCAAGACAAATTAGGGACAGCATGGACAATGTGGGCACAGTATAGAATAGAGGGACAGGGAGAGGGTGGTGTGAGGACAGCGTATGACTATGTGGAAGATGACATATGATGACACGGGAGAGAGCTTGAGACAGTATGGAACAGGTAGGGACAGCATGGATAACTATGGAGACAACCTGAGTATAGTGTATATATTGTGGGGATGGTGGAGGAAATGGGGCTGACCTTGAAGAATGTGACAGAAGCACTGTAGCACACGCTGAGCAGGAAGAGACTGATGAAGACGGTGATGGTCGTCCAGAGCCCGTCCAGCTCCCCGTCCTGGGCCTCAGCACAGGTCTCATTCAGTTCCAGCCCTGGACAGAAAGGGCAGTCGTCCTGGGCCTCAGCACAGGTCTCATTCAGTTCCAGCCCTGGACAGAAAGGGCAGTCAATTCCAACAAGGTGGGGCTAGGACCATTCCCTGTGTGTCAGGAGGCTGCATGGAGGCCCAAGGGAAAGCTGCAGTCTGTCTTAGCCAGCAGACCCTCCCTGGGGCCATCTCTCCTTTCTGTTCTCTCTGGACCAGAAACCTCAGCTTCCCAAAGTGCTACAGTTTTGTCCCTGGCTTAGCCAAACACTGTGGACCTGATACTGGCCTGGCCTGTGCAGGAGCCCTTTTTGTCTACCCCATCCCTCAGTACTGGGGCTGGTTGGGCTTATTCAAGGCTCGAGACCCTGTAAGTAGTAGCTCTGCAGCCTGCCTGATCTACTGCCTGATCCCTGGTGATTGAGTGCAGAGGGCCAGAGTGAGGGTAGGGCCTGTGTTTGGTGATGCCTGGGCTTCCTAGAAGGTCCACATTGGGAAGTAGGAGACTGTTAACTCTATGAAATGAAAATAGGGGTTTAGGGATACAGGGTCAGAGTGGGTCTGGGGGTACTTATGTGTGTTAGGGGAAACCATTCAGGTGCCCATGAGAGCTCTTTCATCTACATTTGTCCAAATGTGGACATTTAGGTAGTGTTTAGGGATGTCCTGACATTCAGGTGGGCTTGGTTGGCATGCAGGTTCCCTAGGTGAGGTATCACTGGGTGTATGTTTGCTTGGAGGCACTATGTGGGTTGAATGATGCTCAGCTGGCTGGTTCTCATAGTCTTGGTCTCAGCATCTATGTGGGTATCTGAGTAGTCACTTCCTTGGGGGCAGCTAAGGTCATTGGTCTCAGTGTCTTGGAACTTAGGTGTGAGTGAATGTCATATGGGAAGTGGTGTTCTCAGGAGTGGTCATCCCTATCCTGATCTCTGGAGGTCTGTCAGAGATGAATGGGATTCATGTATGAATAATAAGAATCTTTCTGTCTATCAATGTCCAGCTGGCCCATGTAATGCATACAGAGACCTCCTCGGTCAAGGTAGGGGAGTCATGGTAGAGGGAAGGACAGGCAGATGAAGGCGGGGCTTGTGTTGGGGTGAGATGCACTTTCTGTGTTCCTTTCTTTGGATATTTTCTAGGGCTAGCTATTTCTATCTCCAGTCCCATCACAGAAAAGTTGCTGGTTGTGGGGAAGAGTATGGAGAGGGCCCCTTGGGCCAAACTTGTTATCCAGAGTGGGGTGATCTCTGGCAAGGTCAGGTATACTTGCATTCTCTGGGTCTGGCAGTATAAGACCTTGTTATTTCTTGGATGTTAACTTACACTTTGAACCCTGGCCAGAGCCCACAGCCTGTGGCTGAGGCACATCATGAACTATGTGCCATGTAAAGAACCAGGCTAATCTCACAGGGTCCCATCTCCAGGTGCTTTATTTATAGGGTCATGGGTTAAGGCTAGTATCAGTGTCTTGTAAGAGCTGAGGTCTGGCTAGGTGCTGTGCTCATTTACCACGGGAGAGGGACAGGGTCTTCTGTGTGTGGTGGTTATGAAGAGCCTCATGTACCACAGAGCAGGTAAAACTGTCTCCTTCCAACCAACTGTTCGTATCCACAGTGAGCTTGCTGTAGAGGAAGTAGGTCCCATCTGAGTCCAGGATGGGTGGGGTGTTCTTGTAGTTCTCCTCCAGCTCCCCATTCCTTTCCCATTCCACGTCAATGTCTTCAGAGAAGAAGTTGGTGACCAAGCAGGTCAGACTAACCTTCTTCTTGGACATTTGTTCACGATGTGGAGGCATGGCATATACTTGAGGTGTCTGGGCTCTTCCTATAAGGTTAGAAGCAGACACAGAGGTCATGGTTAAAGTGGAGGGCTCTCCACACAGGCATTTAATCTTATGCCCATCCCAGCCCCCATGCAGTCAGGCTACAGCTCCTACCTCTGGGTTTTGAGATGGTTCTCTGGATGGGGCCTGGGAGGGCTTTGTTCGTGACCTTGCATGTGTATTTCTTGCCGTTCATCCAGTCCTGATGCTGGATGGGGAGGGCACTGACCACCCGGAAGGTACTATTATACTGCTCCTCACGGGGCTGTGTCTGAGCTGTGTATACTTCTTTGTTGTCCACAAACCAATTGAACTTAACATCTGGCTCATCCTCGCTCACATCCACCACCACACACGTGACCTTGGGGACCCTGGAGATCATGAGTGCATCCTTGGGCTTTGGGGGGAAGATGAAGACGGATGGTCCACCATCTGGTGGGGAGAGATAGGATGGGTTAGCAGTTGTGCCATCCTCCAATGTGTGGCTGTTTGGGATAATCATGTCCTGGGACTAAAGGAGACTTAAATGACTTACGTAGGCATGAGGTATCTGTCGGGGGTTTGGGCGTGGGTATTCTGGGCTCTGCAGAGAAAAGACTGGGAATTAATGGGGTCTGGAAGAGAGAAGGCATCAATCCAGGGAGGCGAAAGATGGCCCTAGTTTTGGTTCAGGTCATGGTATTCCTGGATCTGATCACTGACAGGTTGAAACCCATGTCCACTTCTGTTTGTCCATGATGTGAAATACTGGTAGCCATTTCAGAGGTATACTTTCTGAGTATGAGGAACATGAAAAAAGGCTTCTAGGAGGTAGACACAAAGGAACCCCACTGCCCTGGTTGGTGTTGCCTCTCTGCCAAGATCTGTTCAGTTTGACTGTTCTATACAAGAGATTGACCCCCTAGCCTGACCTCCTGGTTAAATTTTATCTCCCCTGGTTATCCTCTCACCAAGTCTCGTGACCAACTCGGTTTTGCTGGCCGGGTGGACGACGTTGCAGGTGATGGTCTGACTGGGCCAGGTTCTGGAGGATACAGTCACTGAGCTGCTGAGGGAGTAGAGTCCAGACTGCAGGACAGCTGGGAAGGTACGTACACCGCTGGGCAGTGATCCAGAGTTCCATTTTACGGTTACCGGCTCAGGGAAATAGCCTTTGACAAGGCATCCTAATGTCACCGGAGATCCAGACATGTCACCGCAGCCAGACACCAAGGGATAGACAGATGGAGCTGTTTTGCTGACTGCAAGACAGGGAGATGTGTGAGATTATCAGACAGGACTGGATCCAGGCAATGGAGGAATTCTGTCCTTGGTCTTACAAGGATGTCAGGCTTCTGCAAAGAGCATGTAAGATATATCTATCACCTAGGCTGAGGACATCATATAACCACTGCCTCACCTTAGACCCTCTCCACCCCAGGATCACCAGCTAGGCTTGACCAGTAGAAGTTCTGAGCCCAGTTCTATCCTTAACGTATTTTCAAAAAGCTGGTGGATGAGCTCTCCATGTGGTTTCTATGTCCTGTTGTATAGTCTCTTGTACTTGTGTCTTGAAGTTGTAGACATCATTCATGTCTCCCCTAAGTGGAGCCTTGATTTCCTTCCCTAGCTCTGCCTGTCCTGCCATGTTGGCTCCTGCTGTCCTGTTGGTTCTTTGTTCCCTCTGTGTACATGTATGTGTGTGTGTGTGTGTGTGTTTGTTTGTGTGACCTGTTTTTATTTTTTTATTTTTTTGTTTTATTTACATTTCACATGTTGTCCCCTTACTCCATCCCCCACTCACCCAGGAATCCCCTATCCCCTCACCCCTCCTCCTTCTTTTCTGCAGATGTAACCCCTACCTATCCCCCCACTCCCACCTCCCCACCCTCAAATTCCCACCCCCTGGATCGTCCAGCCTTCATGAGGTCAAGGATCTCTTCTTCCACCTATGCCCGGCAGGGTCCTCCGCTCTTACGTATACAGCTGAAGCCATGGATACCCCCCTAAGTGCTCCCAGGCTGGTGGTTTAGACCCTGGGAGCTATGGTTGGTTGGTATTGTTGCTCTCCTCATGGTGCCACAAACCCTTTCAGCTCCAATGGTCTTCACTCTAACTCCTCCATTGGGAACCCCATGATCAGTTCAATGGCTAGCTGTGAGCATCTGCCTCTGAATATGGTGTGACCTGTTTTTAACTGGCCCTGTTTTTAATTGGGCCTGGCCCTAGCCTCAGGTTCCATAATTTTACAAACTCAGGCCCATGACCTTGGTCATTCAGGCTAAGCCATCTGAGTTGGCTTTGAGATAAAGAGGGTGGACAAATCCCACTCCTAGACTCTTGACTCTGATTGTGCACTGACACAATGGCCACAGGACACTTCCTCAGTCTGCCTGATACTTTGATTTCTAAATCTGTGTTCTGGGTTCCAGCTTGTCCTCGGCCCTCCTTGAATCTTCCTCCTTGACTCTTGAGGTTCATACTCAGCAAGCCTGTCATGAACTTTCCCAGCATGGGCTTTCCTGGCCTGGCCTGACTTCCCTGGCTGTCTCTGGGCTTCTTCTCCTCTGCAGGATATTTTTCTAATGGGAACCTGCTGATCTCAGCTCTTACTGCCTCTTCTCTTACCCTGAACCCCACGCTCACCCCTGTCTTCTCCTATGTCACTGGTACCAGTGTCTCCAGATCCCAACGAATCCCCCCTTTCTCTCTAGAAGCCTTGAGCCCTCGAGTTTAGGATATGCTGCCATTCATGAGAAAACTGGTTGTCAGGCTATGTTCTCTCCAACCCTCTCTTAGCTTCAGGGTCAACCTTTGAACCACAGCTGCTGGCTCCCACTTCTCAGACCCTGATATGCCTCCTTGCTCCCTCCCCTCTGTGCATCCAACTCTGTATACCTGGTTTGATCTTCCTACCGTATGTTCCCCTTCATCTCCAGGAACCAAGAGGGCTCCTGACTGAGAACTGCTGACTATATGCTCCTTTTGTGAGTGTCAGCCCCAGGAGTTTCCCTGCCCTGCTCAGCCAAGGCCCTTCTTATCCCTCATTACTGATTCTCTCTTGCTTGTGAGCTAGACAGGCCCTGAGCATCTTTCTTTTCTCTTTCTCCATCATTTCACCCCCTCATGTAGTCTTTACACACAGTCCCACGTCTGAACCCAGCTCTTACTATCTTCTTGCTAACAGGCATGTACAGATATGAGGTGTAGAGCAGCTACAGGACAGCTGCCGCAGCAGTTTTCCTGGAGCTGTCTCCAGTCCTCTCATCTCACCAGATTCCCAAGCCCCCAGCCGTCACTACTGCCTGAGCCATCTCAGCTCTTCAAAGGCCTCAGGCTGGCTCATGTGTACTCTTTTGCCAAAGCATTCCTAGTTGCCCTGGCTAGACCTACTCAGTTCCTGTGCTTGATCAGGTACCCTAGCACTACAGCCTGCCTCAGTACACTGCGGTCACTCACACTGGCTTCCGACACAACCATCTGTCTTGGTTCCCTTGTAATGACTCAGTCCACTTTCCCACACACCCATCTGCCCCAGCACCTTAGCCTGATTTGGTCCCCCTCCCCGTGCTCCCATCTTTTCCAGTCACTTTGTCAATACTCAGCCTGGTCCTTCCAACTTCTACCAATCCATTCCCATGGAGCTGCTCAATCTGTCCTACCGGCTTGTTTCCTCTGCTCAGGAATTACCTCATACCCTGATCTAGGAGCCACATTACATGGGGCCCTGTGAGCTGATAGCCCCAGCTCCGCCGTGGCTTTTCAGACAGGATATTCACATTTCCATCTACTCAAACTCCCCTGTAGCTGCTCAGCTTAACATCATACCCATCCACCAACCCCAGCTCCCCAGAGCTGCCCAGCCTGGTCCCCACAACTACACCTACCACAGCTCCCCAGAGCTGCCCAGCCTGGTCCCCACAACTACACCTACCACAGCTCCCCAGAGCTGCCCAGCCTGGTCCCCACAACTACACCTACCACAGCTCCCCAGAGCTACACAGCCTGGTCCCTACACTCCTACGTACATTAGCTCCCCTAGAGCTGTCCGTGCTGGTCCCTACAGCCCCACCCATCCTAGCTTCCCAGAGCTGCCCAGTCTGGTCCCTATACTCCTACAAACCCCAGCTCTCCCAGAGCTGCCCAGCCTGGTCCCAATACCCCCACCTACCCCAGCTCCCCAGAGCTCCCCAGCCTGGTCCCCACACCCCTAGCTATCTTAGCTCCCAAAAGCTGCCCAGCCTGATCCCCACACACCCCAGATATCCTAGCTCCCCAGAGCTGCCCAGCCTGGTCCCCCCACCCCCAGCTATCCTAGCTCCCCAGAGTTGCCCAGCCTGGTCCCCAGACCCCCACCTACCCTAGCTCCCCCAGAGCTTCCACTTGGTCCTTATACTCCTACCTACCCTAGCTCCTCTAGAGCTGTCCAGGCTGGTCCCTATAGCCACACCCATCCTAGCTTCCCAGAGCTGCCCAGCCTGATCCCCACACTTCCACCGACCCCAGCTCTTCTAGAGCTGCCCAGCCTGGTTCCCTCACCCCAAGATATCCTAGCTCCCCAGAGCTGCCCAGCATAGTCCCCACACTCCCGTGTACCCCACTCCCCAGAGCTGCCCAGTGTGGTCCCCACACCCCCACCTACCCCAGTTACCCAGAGCTGCCCAGCCTGGTCCCCACACTTCCACCAACCCCAGCTCTTCCAGAGCTGCCCTGCCTGGTTTAGACACCCCACCCATCCCAGCTCCCCTAGAGCTGCCCAGCCTGGTCTCCACACCCTCACCTACCCTAGCTCCCTAGAGCTGCCTAGCTTGGTCCCCACGTCCCCTCCCACCCTAGCTCCCCAGAGCTGCCTCAGCTGTGTTGTGGCTGCTCATTCTAGTTTCCTGAGCTCCTAAGTTTTCCATGACTCCTCCAGAACACCTCTGGGATCTCTGGAGGTGTTCAGTCTGGTTCTCCCTGTTAGCACTTGCTTCAGCTTCCCTGTATCGTCTCAGCCTGTTTTCCTAAGCTCCTAGGGCTATCCTGAAGCTGTGGAACTTCCACTTGGCTCCCTGTAGATCCTCAGCTTGGTCTTCCATATTCCCCTGTAGCTCACATCCTGGTACCCCACACCCTCACCTCTCCCTGTTCTCCTTTAGCCTCTCACCTTGGCTGTCCACACTCCCAGCTTCCCCAGCCCCACTACGGCTGCTCAGTCAGATTCCTTATACTCATTCTCCTCTAGTTCTCCCGTAGCTGGTCAGTCTATTTTCCCATATCCCCAGCTATGCCAGCTCTCACATAACGGTTTAGCCAGGTCCCCTATGCTCTCCTGTGTCTGCTCAACCTGGTACCCTCAAATCTTAGGAGCCTCAATTCCTCTCTGCTGTTTCATAATTCCCTGAGCTCCTGGGCCTGTGTTCATCCTCCCAAATGTCCAGCCTCCACACCTCACCTGTATCTGTCCTACCTGATCCTAGGAGTTTCTTAGACTTCTCCCTGCCAGTCTTGGCTTCTTTCACCTCAAGCTAGGCTCCTTGTCTCATCTCTTCAATACTGAGCTTGATTCCTAAACTGTAGAGAAAACACACACTTGGCTTCCCCAGCAGGCTTAGAGTCCCTCTTGGGCAAGCTTTGGATTCCTCCATGCCTACATTCCCCTATCAGCTCACCTTTGTTAGCCCTGCAGATTCCTGCTGCAGAGTTCTTCCTCCTCTGGGTTTCCTCTCTGCTGACTCAGCTAATTTGATCCTACCAGCTTCTAGACAGACCAAGTTCATCTTCTAGGCCTCCTGATGTAGCCCATCATCTTGAGATTGACTCTGGTGTTGGCGACGGCGGCAGCAGCAGCAGCAGCAGCAGCAGCAGCAACAGCAGCAACAGCAACAGTAACAGCAGCTGCTGCAGCAGTAATTGTGTGTGTTTAGATCCACTGGCCCATGCTCCACCCTGTGATATCCTTGGAATGTCTGGCCAACATTCTTCAGGCTGTCATCTTACCTGTGTAGCAGATGGACCCTCTCCACAGTCTGGTATCTCAACTTCTTCCCAGTCTTACATGGGTTGTTGGTGGTTCCATTCTGCTGATATCCACTGCTGAGCCAGGTCTCATGGCCTTCTCCCACTGCACTCTCCTTTCCTGGCTGATGCAACTCATGTGTGGGAAATATGAAAGTCACAGCCTCTTTTCTCGCTTTGGCCCATGACTGCCAGGAGCTTAGCTCTGGGATCTTTCCTCTCAGGAGTTGCAGCCTAATTGTCACAAAGGTCTGAATACCACCCCACACCCATCTCTGCACAGGCTAAGAACAGGATTGAAACTGGGTGACAGAAGGTACTATCTAAAGTTCCCCTTTCTTTAGGGGTTTCTGTGTCAGGGGATAAGGGGAGTCTAGATCAGGTTGAAGCTGCATCACGTGGATGGGTGGGGGTGGATGAGGTAGCACCCTTGAGACCCAGGGGAGAAATCAGGAAGCCTAGCCCTTACCTGCTTCTCTGTGTTCATTGCCTCCTTAGGTTCCTGGGCTGGCTGAGACTGTATCTGTACCAACTCCCTGGAGAGGGAGGCTTCTTATTCAGGTTAAAGCCCAAACATGGTGGCAATGTCTCCCTGTCCTCTCCCAATGGTTCTTCTTTAGGGGAATCCCAACCAATCTGTGGTTTAGAGAAGACAATGGGGAGGCTTATATCCCAGGGGTAGAACACAGAATATGAGCCAGTTGGTGAACAGAAGGGGTTAAAGACTTGAGCTCACATCCAGATATGGTGTAGCCATAGAAGGAACCAGTGCTGGTGGACAGGAGGGGCTTTTGGCTATACTTTGAGAGGACCTAGGCAGGGAAGGTCCCTGGGGCTGGAGATGGCAAAGGAAAAATATGGATGAGGATGAGAACCCCACTGAGACAGGATTAGGAAGGGGTAAAATTTGTACAGCAGTGTGGGGTTCACAGAGCAGTGGACTACATGGGGAGAAGGAAGGAATGACCACATAGGACCAGAGAGGCATGTGTCAGAGGGTGAGGTACAGGTTAGGAAGAAGAGGGAAGACTAGGTCTGTAAGGTTCTGGGGGTAAAGGGAGGTGGACACCAGGATCACAGGGGATATGAATATGGCCATCTTCTTCAAGAGTGTTGGTACACTCTAAATTTGAAGGCTGAGGGTTCCTGGAAAGAGAATTCCTTGGGTGTAGAGACACTGGAACCATGTAGAAGGAAGGGGTGAGTGTGGGGTTCAGGGTAAAAGAAGAGGCAGTAAGAGCTGAAATCAGCGGGTTCCCATTAGAAAAATACCCTGCAGAGGACAAGAAGCCCAGAGACAGCCAGGGAAGTCAGGCCAGGCCAGGGAAGCCCATGCTGGGAAAGTTCATGACAGGCTTGCTGAGTGTGAACCTCAGGAGTCAAGGAGGAAGATTCAAGGAGGACTGAGGTCAAGCTGGAGCCCAGAGCACAGATTTAGAAATCAAAGTATCAGGCAGACTGAGGAAGTGTCCTGTGGGCGTTGTGTCAGTGCAGAATCAGAGTCAAGAGTCTAGGAGTGGGATTTGTTCACCCTCTTTATCTCAAAGCCAACTCAGATGGCTTAGCCTGAATGACCAGGGTCATGGGCCTGAGTTTGTGAAGAGATTACGGGACCTGAGACCAGGGTCCACTAATCAAGCCAGATACTGTCTTAGTTACATTTTTTATTGTTGTGATAAGACATTATGACCAACTTATAAAAGAAAACATTTATTTGGGGTTGATAGTTCCAGAGGGTGAGAGTCCATGACCATTATGGCAGGGTGAATGACAGCAGGTAGGGAGGCAGGAAACTGAAGAAGTAGCTGAGAACTTATATCTTGATCCACAGGCCTGAGGTAGAGAGAGAGAGAGAGAGAACTTGGAATGGCATGGGCTTTTGAAACCTAAAAACTTGTTCCCAGTATCATAGCCCCTCCAACAAGACCACACCTCCTAATCTTTTCAAGGCAGTTCCATCAATTGTGGACAATGTATCCGAGCATATGAGTCTATACGAGCTGTTCTCATTCAAACCACCAGATTTGAATCTGGCCCTCATGTGTTGCTGGCCATATCATAGTGCGAAATGCATTTATCCCTATGTTAGAAATCCCTGTAGATTTGTAAAGTCTCAGCACAATTTAGAAGTCCAAAAATCTAAACTCTCTCCTGAGACTCAAGGGAATTTCTTTATTGTACCCCCTTCATAAAGTCCTAAAGATAATTACATACTGTCAGCCTACAATGATACTGAAAATATATTATCATCCCAAAAGGGAGGAATTGGGGCATATCAAGGAAATACTCAACCAAAGGAAGACTGAGACCCAGCAGAGCAAACTCCAAATCCTGTAGTTCCACGTCTAATGTCAAAGGGTTTAAATGGCTTTAACTTTCCAGGTTGCTGTCCACATACACTTCTCTCTTGGGATGGTTCCATTCTCTGTATGTACATTTCCCTGGCAGCCATCCCATGGCTCTGACATCTCTGGCATTATGGGGTCTTCAATACAATTCAGATTTCACTTTTATAACTTTATGCAATGACCTATCAGTGACTCCATGCAGGGATCCCCGTCACACACTTCACCTCATGAACTCTTTAGCACAGAGGAAGATTCTACAGCCCCTTTACTTACACATCCTTCATGACTCTAAAGCCATAACCACATAGTTGACAATGCCAAGTTTCTCTGCCCACTTGTAATGGAGCATGATTCCCTCCTGGAAATTATAACCAAAATAAAAAAAAAATTGCATGGTCAGGCTTCTCACAGCAATAACACACTCCTTGGTACCAATTTCTTTCTTCGTTACTTTTCTATTTCTATGATTAGACACTATGATCAAGGTAACTTACAAAAGGAGACATTTATTTGGGGCTTACAATTTCAGAGGGTTAGAGGACGTGGTTGCCATGATTGGGACCATGGTGGTAGGCAGGTAGGCATGAAGTTGGAGCAGTAGCTGAAAGCTTACATCTAGATCTGTAAACATGAGGCTGAGAGACTTAAATGGGATTGGCATGGGCTTTTGAAACCTCAAAACCTGCTCTCAGTGACATAGCCCCTCCAACAAGGCCACACCTCCTAATCCTTCCTAGAAAGTTCTACCGATTAGGAACCAAGGATTCAAACGTATGAGTTTACAGGGGCCATTCTCATTCCAATCACTACAGACAGTAACAAGCCAGGGAAGGAACAAGCAAGATACAGAATTGTAGGAGCCAAAATGACAGGGAAGGCAAAGCTGAGGAAGAGGATGGAGGGCCAACTGAGGGGACTTCACAAAGATGACCTAGTCAGGAAATCCTGTAGTGGAGTGAGGTTAAGACAATGCAGATGATGAATTCAAGTGAGCATCTGATGCTAACAAGCCCAGTTGCTGGGCTTTGACTGATCTTTGCAAAGGACCAGGATTCTGGGAAGGATTAGGAAGATGTCTTCCAAGGTCTTAGGCCCAGCTGTGTCTGAGAGGATACTCACATATTCCCTCATCTTGTAGCCAGAACCACAGACCCCCTTTTTTTCCCCTGGATTCTGGCTGTGGGGACATTTCTGGCTCCATGGTGATCTGGGGATGCCTGGTCAAAGGCTAGATTTTTGAAGTGATGAGCATGTCCTGGAGCCCTGGAGCCCTGTCCAGTGGTTTACCTGGACAACAAATGACTATGTCCTGGAACCCCTGTTCCCTGTTCAGTGGTGTATGCTTCGTCCTATGTGTTCTGCAGTCTGGGGTCTACTCGCTCAGTGGCTCAATGACTAATCTTGCCAGCACCTGGGCTAACAAGACTTTCAACGACAGTGTAGTCTACCTGGCCAGCAGGACCAAGTGGACAAGAAAACTGGTGAGAGAATGGCTTTGGAATTGAGGGGTCCATTGGATGTCAAGCTGGACTAACCTCCTGTCCAGAAAAATCAGGTTGGGCAGCCCTTACCAGGAAAGGTAACTTAGCTTAAGTTGATAGGAGTCCCTGTTTGTCTGCCTTCTGGAGTCCACCTATGCTCCTTTCATTCAGGGAGTGATCCTTCATGGTGGAGGCTCACATGCCATCTCCTGGTCACCCTACTTGTCAAAGATTATATTCAGAAGCAGCCTGACTTTGAACTCACACCAGAGTCAAGCTCTTCCCTTCTCTTGCTTGGTTCCTTATGTCTCTCAAACCTTATTATCACCCACTCATCCTTATAGAATATCTGGGGGGTTCTGAGGCCAGGCTCATCAAGTGTCCATGTGTCCAGTTAAATAACTTAGCCTTGCTTCCCAGCCTCAGGATAAAGAAGAGTACTCAGGCTGGAGGGTGGCTCAGGTCTTGAACCATCTCCATTTCTCCTCACCAGCTCCCGAATTCCTAGTGGGAGACCGTCTATCTTCAACTTTCATCCAAAGTCCAAGGATGCACTTCTGATCTCCCTGACCCACAAGATCACATTTATGGCCCTGAGCTAGGAGGTTCAATTCAACTGGTTCATGAATGATAATCAGGTGCACATGGCTCAGATGCAGGACTGCAAGGAGCGATATAACAATGCCTTCCAGGTGATCAGCATTTTCAGCCAAGACTGGTTGAAGGGCAAGGGATTCAAAAGGTGGGGTCTGGGGCGGGAGGTAGACGGTATTGGGACTATGATGGGCAGGGTACTGAGCTTGGCAAAACTCTTTACTTTGGTAGCAACTGCTGTTATGGCTCCTCTCCCCAACAGGGCATGCCCAGGTGCCTTGGGAATCCACCATGCCTCCATCTAAGTAGCAGATCAACAAGAACAAAGTCAGTCTTATCTGCATGGTCATGCTCTTCTATCCTGAAGACATTGATGTGGAGTGTTATATCAGTGGAAAACCTGAGAGGAACTACAAGAACATAGTTACGGACTCTGGTGGGTCCTTCTTCTGCAGAAATATTACTATGGACAAGATCATGATGCAGGAGGGAAATGTTTTGCTTGCTCTGTGGTACATGGGTCTCTGCACAATGACCACACATAGAGGACCCTCACCTGGTCTGTGGATAAATGAGTGCAGCACTCAGCAAGCTCTCTAATTCTTAGAGAAACTGATTCCTTTGTGTTCCTTTCTCCACATAAATAAACTGCCCAGCACTTCCCTGGGACCCAGTGAAAATGTTTTGGTCTTTTTAAAGGTTATACCAATGTGCCTAAGTCAATCACTGTGGAGTTTAGATAATGTCCAAGCCCATAGCATCAGACTCAGAGCCTTTGTATATATTTGGCAAGTCCTGAGGTCATCCGTCAACAGGGGAGGAGATTTAGTTTAAAGGCACCCTCTCTCATCTCTGCCTACAGTCAGCTGAAGAGTCATGCTGAACTGGGACACCCCTAAGTAATCTCCTAAGGAAAGGAACACAAAGAACTTATAAATCCTGACACTTTCCATCTGTCCCTGTTCTTCTTCCTGACCAAGGGTGTCTCTGTGACACTGCAGAGCCATATCTAGGCTATGTGTACAACAAGTTATTAAGGCCAACACACTCAATGCAGCCTGCTTTGTCTGGCCTTGCCTCTACAAGAAATAGGGATACCTATGTGTGTGGATACTGCCTATTTATGGGACACTAATTGTGCCCCAAAGGGACTGAGGCAAGTGCTCTGGCTACCACAGAGGAAGGATGACCAGATATACACCTGATCCACTAGACCAGTGTACTTAGTATCATTCAGCCTATATGCCATCTGTACATAGATGCATACACACATGTACTTGCCTAACATACTAGGTCTTCACAGATGCATCTTGCATAACACCTACTCCCTGTTGGATGTCAGAATATCCCTAACCACTACTTCAATGTTCATATTTGGGTCATCAAAGTTAAACATAGCACTCACCTTCTGAAGGCACCTGCACCCATTTCCCTACATACACAGTCTTTGAGGACCAATATGCCTCTAAAAGACTGTCCTTCTAATCTATACAGCTGACACTTCCTATAGTTTGTGGCCTGGCCTGCTTCCTGATGTGAACCTTCAGTGACATCAAGGCAACTCTAGGCACAAGCTGTGGCCCTCTGGGCTAGGTGACCAAAGGACATGCAGAGGGTCAGGCAGACTGCAGAGCCACTGCCTACAGGTATAGGCCTTTACTTAGTTCAGATCGATCCAGAATGGAGAGGTAGAGAAGGCAGGGAGGACTGTGGATAATCTAGGTCACACCATTAGGTTCAATGTGTCTATTGAACCCAGGGACTAAGCCAGAACAGTTAGGGGAGAGGGCTGTTGCCTAGAGAGGGTAGAAAGCTGGGCCCAGGATGGGTCTGCTAGACTAGATCAGCTGGTCCTTTCTTCTGCATCCCCTGATGTCCCACCTTGCCACAAAAGAAATTACCCCTTAGTGTCCCCTTGTTTGAAAAAATACTGACTACTTCTCTCTGTCCAGGGCTAGAACTGGACAAGACCTGTGCTGAGGCCCACAATAGGGAGCTGGACAGGCTCTGGACAACCATCACCATCTTTATTAGCCTCTTTCTGCTCATGGTGTAGTACAGTGCCTATCACACAAAAGGTAAGCACTGTTTTCTCACTGTCCCTGTGATGTTCTGTTATCCTTATGATGACTCTAAACTGTCACCATATTGTCCCCACAGTCTTCATATAAATTCCTTATGTTCCCTACACTGTCTCAATGGCTTCCCCAAACTGTGACCATGTTATTCCTTCTGTATCATACTATCCTCGCTCTGCCTCTGTGTATTTGCTGTCCTACCTGGTCTCTCATGCTGCCACCACACCATGACTCTGCTTGCCCATGCTGTCTCCATCTTGTCTCAGCCTTGCACACAAGGTATTGTTTATCTTCTCCACTCTGTCTTCACACTTTCCCTACTACATCCTCACTCCATTTTCACTGTTGCCAAAATAAATCCACGCTGTCCCCACACTGGTCCCCACCACAGCCTCACCCTCTGTGTCATGTCGTAAAGACTACCCCCATCTGCTCCACTTTCTCAACCCTGTTCATTGATGCTCTATTTATAATATCCAGGAAACAGCCTAGATGTCTGTCAACAGATGAGTGGTTAAGGAAAATGTGGTATGCCTACTCAATGGAATATTATCCGGCTGTTAAAAATGAAACCACGAAAATTTTAGGCAAATGAAGGGAACTAGAGAAAAAAAATCATCCTCATTGAGGTAACTGAGACTGAAAAGACAAATACTTGATTATACATGGATGTGTAGTCGCTTATACATGGACGTTAGCTGTTAAGTGTCCATCAGCAGTTTACAATTCATATAACTACAAAGGCAAGGGACTAGGAAAGTGGGAAGGTTCTTCCTAGGAAAGGGAAATAGAACATATAGTTATCGATGGGATGGGCTTGGAACAGGAGGATCAAATAGGAAAGAGAAGGAAAAAAAGGGAGTAAGGGAGAGAATATAGGCTAAAACTAAGGGCCATTTGAGGAGCTATATGTAATTCTAATTCAATCAAAACATCTTAAATATGAGCTCTCCAGCCAGGGAAGCAGATAGGCCAGCTTCAGATCTTTGCCTTATTATAGGAAAACCACCAGAGATGACTACACAGACACAGTTTATAGCTTATTGGAAGTCTTTACTCCAGACTGATGGGACTACACTCAGAATAGCACTGAGGATTTAGAACAAGAGGCTTCCCATCTGGATCCACTCTCATTCCTTCTCTCATCAGAAAAGAGCAGGCTTCTAAGAGACAACAACAAAACACAACAAATAAAATATGATAAGCTAAAACAAAAACCCTCACATCCGAAGCTGGGCAAGGCATCCCAACAGAAGGGAAAGAGCTCAGGAGAAGGCACAAGATTCAGAGACTCATTTACATACTCAGAAGTTCCATAAACTACTAAACTGAAAGCTATAATATATATGCAGTGGACCTAGGAAGAAAGAATCCCCAAATCAGGCAACAGTCAGAAACAGCCCCTGCTTCCACTGTCAGGAGTCTATGGGGTCCACATCTATGGTCTTGGCAACAGCCTGGGTTGTTTGGGGATTCCTTTGGCCAACGACTCAGCTAGGTGTAACCTAGTCCTGCTAATGGAAGCTTCATTTGATGAGATAACCAGGTTGGGACTCTCACTCCCCATTATCTGGCAATTTCATTTAGATTGCCTTCATTAACGTATATATCTTAGGAAGCTTCTAATATATTACATTTCCATGCTACCCCTCAAATGGCTATTAATTTTAGCTGTCTCTCCTTATATTCCTTCACTTGACCCTTCTCCACACCCCATACTTACTTGATCCTCCTGTTCAAGCCCCCTCTGTCCATCAATATCTGTTCTACTTCCCTTTTGTAGGGAGGTGTATCTATCCCCTCTGCACTCAGCCTTTTACTCTATACCTGATCTCTGTGGTTCTACAGATTGTAGATTGGTTATTGTGGACTTAACAGCTACTATTCACATGTAAACAAATACGTACAGTATGTTTGGGTCTGTATTATCCCATTCAGGATGACATTTTTCTAATTTTATCCATTTATCTGAAAATGTCACAATTACGTTTTTTTAATGGCTGAATACGGCTTCATTTTGTAAATGTAGCAGATTTTCTTTATCCATTCTTTTATTGAGGGACATATAGGTTTCCCTCCAATTTCTGGCTATTATAAATAGAAGACCAGTGATCACAGTTGAGCAAGAGTCTCTGTGGTAGACTGAGGTGTCCTTTGAGTATATGCCCATGAGTAGTATAGTTGGATTTTTTAAGGTAGATTGACTCTCCCCGTTCTGAGGAACTGCTATACTGATTTCCATAGTTGCTGTACAAGTTTGCATTGCCACCAGCAATGAATGCGTGTTCCCCTACTCCACAGCCTCATTTGTATGAGCTGTCATTTGGTTTGGTTTTTTTTTTTTTAATATTAGATATTCTGACAAGTGTAAAAATGAAACCTCAGAGTACTTTTTGACTTGCATTTTCTTGATTACTAAAAATGTTGAACATTTCTTTAAATGTTTCTCAGCCTCTTGAGTTCCTTCTTTGGAGCACACTGTTTAAATAAGTACCCCACTTTTAAATTGGATTACCTTTTTTCTTCATGTCCATTTTTTCAGTTCTTTATATATTTTTTTGGATATTAGTCATCTATCAGATGCGTAGCTGGTAAAACTCTTTCCCCATTCTGTAGGCGTTTGCTTTGTCTGAATGATGGTGCCCTTTGCCATACAGAAGCTTCTCAGTTTCATGAGGTTGTATTTATTGTTTATCTGACTGCTTGTGCTAGTGGTGTTCTGCTCAGAAAGTCTTTTCCTATGCCAGTTAATTCAATGCTGTTTCTCACTCTTTCTTCTATCAGATTTGGTGTTTCTGGTTTTATGTTCAGGACCTTGATTCATTTAGAGTTGAGTTTTGTGAGGAGAGATAAGTATAGTTCTATTTGGATTCTCTTACAGGCAGCCATCCAGTTTGACCAGCACCATTTGTTGAAGATGCTGTCTTTTTTTCCAGTGTGTATTTCTGGCCTATTTATAAAAAAAAATCAGGTGTCTATAAGTATGTGGATTTGTCTGGGTCTTCAGTTCAATCCATAGATCAATGTATCTATTCTTAAGGTGAATACTGTGTTGTTTCCATTACTCCAGCTCTGTAGCACAAGTTGAGGTTGGAAATTATTGCATCTCAAGTAGTTCTTTTATTTTTTATTTTCTTTTTTGTGTGTTTTTTAAGTTATCATTTTACTTATTCATTTTACATCCTGCTCACTGCCCCTTCCTACTTACTCCCTCCCACAATTCTTCCCCCCTTTTCCCTCTTCTCTTCTGAGTGGATGGGGGCCCCCGGGCATTCCCCTACCATGGTACATCATGTCCCTGTGTGACTAGGTACATTCTCTCCCACTGAGGCTAGACAAGGCAACCCAGCTAGAAGAACATATCTCATGTATAGGCCACAGCTTTTGGGATAGACTCTGCTACAGTTGATCAGGACTCACATGAAGAC